AGAATATCAAAAGTCAGAAGAATGAGTGAAAATCAGAGGAAACAACACTTTGTGCTAGTACATGGTTCGTGCCACGGCGCATGGTGCTGGTACAAGGTCAAGCCGTTGCTCGAGGCGGCGGGTCACCAGGTAACCGCTTTAGACCTAGCTGCCTCCGGGATAGATACAACAAAGTCGATCACTGAGATTCCCACATGTGAACAATACTCTGAGCCATTAATGAAGCTCCTGAGCTCATTACCCAGTGATGAGAAGGTTGTGCTCGTTGGTCATAGCTTTGGAGGTTTGACCTTAGCCACGGCCATGGATAACTTTCCCGACAAGATCTCTGTCTCTGTCTTCTTGACTGCTTTCATGCCCGATACCAAAAACTCACCATCCTTCGTCTTGGAAAAGGTATCCCCTTTTTACCTCCGGTCACGTATTTTTTGTTTGTTACTCTTAGTGATACATACAATAATGATCGTATTAATGGCTCACAGATATTGAGCATATATATAATAAACAAACAAATATTATTCAAATGAAGTTTTTCTTTTGTCATCCCTCAAAGATTCTTTTGTTTTCCCTCAAAGATTTCCTTTTGTTATCCTTATATATGAACCATCATCCAACATACATTCAAAATTGGAGTTTAATACAATGTTAAATTGTATGAACTCAATTCAAAACTAACTGATGATTAAGATATAGTTAAATTCTCATATATCTCTCATATATTATTATTTGTTCATGATATTCATTGATGTTAGAATTTGATATTTTCTTGTATATTTCTAATTGTATTAAACTCGAAAAATAATTTTTGAATTAAATTTTTCTAATTACGTAAAAGTTTGGAAGCAACATGCCACAAGAAGCATGGATGGACACCGAATTCGAACCATACGGCTCAGACAATTCCGGGCTGAGCATGTTCTTTAGCCATCAGTTCATGAAGCTCGGCCTCTATCAACTTTCTCCAATTGAGGTAATCTAATCTATCATTGGGCCTAAATGGTGTATGTAAATTTGTGGAATTGTGAGGAATGTTGAAGAATTTTTTGTTTGTTACCATTTAGCTTTCAAGAATTGTAGACTTGTGGAATTGTGGAATTGTGAAGAATTGACAAAACATGCATAATTTGTTTTAAGACAATAAACATTATAATATTCATATAAAGCTTCACCTGATCTTATTTTTACCGTGACAAAAAACGTTTTGTTTTTATAACATTTATGATGCATATGTAATTATGAGTGTATTACAACAAATCAAATTATATTGAAAGGATTCTTCGATATTTGTTGTTGTTTTATCA